GCATCCTACTAGCAAAATACCTGGGCTTTATGAATGTTACTTTCGAAACCGATTCCAAGGATCTATATGAAAGCTTCAACAGCACCCAAGTTAACAACAATGTGCTCCGCAACCTACTGTTGGCTTGCATGCGGGAAATAAACTCAATCAATACATGGAGGTTATCCTTAGTTGTTCGTGAGCAGAATCGCTTGGTTGACGCTATAGCACGCAGAGCCAAGAATTTCCCGAAAGGCCTGCATATCCTATATAATCCACCGGACGAGATTTTGAACATTCTTCATGATGATTTAGATGGTATCGCTATGTGGCACCAATAGCTTGAGTTTGTACTCTTGGGTATCCCCCTTCCTATATATATATATATATATATATATATATATATATATATATATATATATATAATGATATCATGTATGATCAATGCTGAATGAAATTTTAATTTTTTAATATAATTTTGACACCGAACATGATTTTTTTGTCTCTGCCGTGCGTGAATCGTCACTAAAGTATTTACTTTTTCTTTTCAAATTGTTGACTTTTAGCATTGTTGGATCTCAGCACTATATGCTTTACTTCTCGGTGGGTCACCCATCCCGTGATTGTTTTTGTTGGATCTCAACGCTGCACTATGCTTACTACCCAGTGGGTCACTCATCCCATGACTGTTGTAAATCAAACACGCTAGCTTAACCACAAATTCATTGGCTATCTGGTTGTCATATCCTACTTAAAACCAATTAGTGATAAGTAGGTGGACATTAACGATAAGTGTACAAATGTTACACATTTTATATATCTTTAATTGGCTAATTATTTAACAAACAATATTAGATCGGTTAGTTGTGTTTTGTGTTTCTAGTCTAACTTCCGTTGTTGCCTCAGAAGTTGCTGTGCTTGGGACATTGCGTAATTCAGCTTAGGCGGATCTTCTAACAGGATTTCGTTAAGAGTACAAAGTTGTCAGATAGCCAATTTGAACGGAATGTCTCACCTTAATTCAAGGAATTCTTACACAACTTATTTTAAGACTTTGATCAAGAGTTCGATTGTTCCACTATATAAAGAGGCGTGAAGGACAAAGCTAATCAACAATGTCTACAAAGACTATTTTATATTGGTGGTCTAATCTGTTGCATATTATATTGCTCTAATTTGGAATTATTCTAATCAGTGTTCAAGAATTTCAATGAAGGGCTGTTAAACTTCATTGAGACGTTGTGACGTCTTTGGGTGGGTGAACAGTGACTCGGCTTAATCTTGAGATTGAAGCGATTCAAGTCTTTCAACCAACTCTAGGAGATGATGAAGAACGAGTTTGGTTTCAACGATTAGACCATAGTCTTGTTTGGAAAATTGGTTCAGCAACTTGGTGATCATTTAGTAGAGTTGGGTTTCACCTTTGTGTGGTCCCGTAGATGTATGAGAAGTTTTCCGAACTGCGGTATCATCTCTCGTTTGGTTCTTTTTATTATTCTGCTCTATATTATTTTCATAAATCTGCTTCAATTCATACAAAGTTTGACACAGGTTATAATCCAGACGATTTAATTAATTAAAATTGAGTCAGAACAAGTTAGCATTCTTGCATTCAATTCAGGATTGAAAATTGAGTCGGAACAAGTTAGCATTCTTGCATTCAATTCAGGATCGAGCAGGGGCTGAACTCGTGTAATCCGGTCGACGCTCAAAAATCCTCCCTCCCAGCACCTGCCGCAATATTTGATCACCAACATGCCTGATGGATCGGTCACTCATCCCTTGACTGCGGTAAATCAAGTACGTTTAACCACAAAGTTATTTGGCAATTTGATTTTCATATCCTACTTAAAACTAATTGGTGATAACTGGGTGGACATTAACAATTTAAGTACATCCCTCCATGGTAAGCCACAACGTCACGTCTCGAATCGAGCAGGGGCTAAACTCGTCTAATCCGACTGACACCCAACAAGCTTTAATTTTCAATATTTACTTTTAACCTTAATGGCGTGTTTGGTTCATGGAATAGGTTGAGAATGGAATACCGTTCCCGGGAATAGACATATTCCATTGTTTGTTTTGTCATTTTATTCAAGGTAATAGCGTTCCCGGAAATGAGCTATTCTCTTTGCAGGGGGAATAGCCATTCCTAGGGGACCCCCTGGTATTAACTATTTCCAAGTATTTGGGAATAGCTTTAGTACTATAATACCAAAAATACCCTACCACCGCCACCACTGCCGCCGTCTCCACCACCACCCCACCACCGCCACCACCACCACCATCGCCACCGCCACTGCCACCACAACCACCGCTGACACTGCTACCACCGCCGCCACCACCACCTCCACTGCCACCACCGCCACCACAACCACCGCCGCCATTGCTACCACCGCCGCCATTGCTACCACCGCCACCGCCACCAACACCAACACCACCACATATTTTTATAAAGGTATTTATGTCTTTTGAAACATATTTCATTCTATTCCTTAAACCAACCAAACACTGTAATATAATTCCTAAAGTCTATTCCTTTCGCGAACCAAACAATAGAATAGAATTCATATTATATTCCTTGCCTATTCCATTCCTTATGGAATAGCATTCTTATTATCTCAAAATTCATTCTGTGAACCAAATGTGTTGTAAGTATTTTTCTACTTTAACCCCTCACCCCCACGCACTTAAAAATATCATAACCCTAATAAAATTATTATTAAGTTTTAATTTTTTTAAAAGAAGCCTAGACGGCGTCTTGCTAGGCTAGTTCCCACCGAACATCTAATGAGCACCTAGCGATGTTTATTACAACATCCATTACAAAACCAATTAATTAAGGAATATTTTAAAAACAATTAACGAAAATGCTACTATCACATCTATGCATTACCTTAACTCAACAAATAGAGGACCATCAAACAATCTTATATATATAGAGAAAGATTAACATAAAAACCTTATCTGTCGTATGATAAAAATCATACAATAGGTGAAGATCGAAGGAACTTGCATTTTTGTATTGTTTTGATAATTAAAGATTCGGTGACAAGAACTTGGTCAACATTTATGGTACACAGACAGTTGTGGACAGAATCAAACGAGAAAAGAAGAGGACAAACAGAAAGGGGTGATTTGTGTTGGGGAAGAAGCAAGGAACAGAGCAGTGCTTATATGTCTGAGAAACAATCTTAGCCTTACCAAGATCCCATTATTATTGGTCAAACTTATCCTACCTCTGAACAAAGGGGAAAGTCATCATGCATATGATGATGATGAAGAATGATGAATGATGGTGATGAAGGTAGAAATTCCTTTGTTCATGTAGGTTCAAGAGTTTACCACTGCGCCAAAAGTTATAACTTGTAGCGATCGAAAACGTAACTTTATTTCTGTATACTTTCGTAGCAATCAGTGCCAGATGGTAAGATTTCTGAACTCGATCAGCTACCTCTCCGAGCCCAACCCAACAATGGTATGGAAATTGGTACCTGTAAAAAAACAAATTAAAGCAAAGCTGCAAACCCAATAATACATATATATTGCTCTGATCTGCATGATCATCAAAAGATAGAGATGTATGCAGTGATCATTAGTTGACTGCATGATTCTATATTTCTATATATTGGGTTTCCATTATCCTATATGTACATAAGATCTCACCTTTAAATACCTATATGTGTGTGTCATACCATGTTCCAAACAGTAGAAAGATACTTGAGTTGGCAAAATGGCATCTGTAAAAAAAAAAAAAAAAAAAAAAAAAAAAAAAATTATCTGCATGATGAAAAAGAGAGATATGCATGCATGATTGGGTTCCAAAAGATACCTTATCAACCCAACAATAATACCAAACTCAATCAATGTGGAACCAAAAAAAAATAATAAATAATAATAATAAATTGACGGTTTAAAATTATAGCATATATAAATGTCAAAAGTTATATCTAAACTGCAAATCAAAACGTTATTACTATGTCAAAAGTTATAATTAATAACATAGACACAACTTTATTTATTTTTTTTTATAACTAATAACATGAACATTTCGGTTTTAAGATTTTTTTGAATTAATTTAATATTTATATTTTTAAGACAAATTTTTTTTGGGAGGATACAATAATAATTTTACATATGCAGTATATATACATAAACAACATTATATACAATTGGCAGGCCTAGGCTATCCCTAACCCCCATTTGTTCTATAACACTAACTCAACTACATGAAAATTTTTGGTCTTTGGGCTGGTTACCCAATTATTATATCATTTATTTGTTAACCTTAATTAATATGATTTTAGAAGGTGTTAGTAGCTGCAATACTAACATGCTACAAGTAGTAGTCTTGTTATATTTATCCATTTTTCTACTCCTTTTAATTTTTAATAGTATAAAGTCATGGGGTACTAAATGTTCTACAAATACATATGAATTTAGGGATCGCAACGGAGCAGGAAAGACAAGCAGACGCCCCATCCTCATCCCTATGTCCCCCGTTGCTCTCCATCCCCATTGAGGAATAGAAAAATTTCTCCATCCTTGTCCCCGCATGGAATTTTCGGGAACAAGAAATCCACACCCCCCTCCCCGATCAACCCTATAGTCAAATTAGCAGTTTAATATAATTTCTAATATTTAAGTAGAAAAATTTAATGGGTCAAAAAAAAAAAGTAGAAAAATTTAAATATTAAATTATTAATTTAAACTACCAAAAATAAATATTAATCTAGTATTACGTCTTTGATTCTTCTTAACATCACCAAAATATATGGCGGGATGGGGTATCTACGTACCATTTCTCATTCCCTTCTTTGAATTTTGGATTGTTTGTTCCCATCCTCGGAAATCCCCGTGAGGTCAAGAATAAATTGTCATTCCTAGATATGATTGTATATTACATGAAACCATAGTAAAAAGAGCTGAGATTAAATGAATACATATTATGTAAAAATAAATAAATAAATAAAAGAATGATGGGATATTTAAACTCAAAATAAAAAAGGAAAATGAAGCAATTAAGTATAAATAATAAATCACCCACTTCTGTTATTTTCAAGAACTGACCAAAAAAAAATGGTAAAATTAGTTTAAACTTTTCATATAGCTAGTGTACAATTTATAAATTAGATGGGATTCAGCTTGGTGGTAAGCTATATATGCTCTTTTTCACATACTAAACTTATGTATGATTCCCGTTTCCGTCGTCTCCCATCATATATACTCTCGAGAAAATTTAAAACAATTCATCACTTAAATATAATAAAAAAGACGGACCAAATTAAACACTCAGACCATTATTCTCCAAAAAACTATAACAGGAAATAAATAGAAAATTCATTTTTCAGACTTATTATTTTCAATATTTAGTTTCTCCATTTTTACTTTTTAACTTTTTTTATTTTATTTTATAAATTTCTTAGTTTATGAACTTGGTCGGAATTTTTGGCAGCAAGAATGGCAAGTAATTTCCATGCACGTAGAATCGATCCTCCTCGTCGCTCTCTCTTTAAGCTGCTCAGCCTTCTTGACTTCCTCACGCGCTCTTTCCCACATGCTCCGCGCACGCGCGAATTCCGACTGCGCCATCTCGATCTCCCTCCTCGTCAGCTCCCTCACGCGCTCCGCGTACGCCTTCTCCATCGCCGCCAGCCGGATTTGCTCCGCCGCCTGCCACCTCAGCGCCTCCACGTACCCGGCGTCGAATTTCGCCGCGTCCTTGTACGCCCGGTCGGGAGGAGGTTTCAACGGTCTAACGCTTATGGACAACTGCAGGTCTAATGAGGGGCCCTCGAATGCGTCGGTGGTGGACGGCCGGGATTTTTGAACCGCCGAGTCGGACGGCCAGGATTGAGTGTTGGACGTCGAAGCTGCGGCAGCGGTGGGTTGAGTAGTGGTGGGGAGGAAGTGTAACTCCCTTTGGTGTTGATCTTCCATTGTGGATAGATGGGCTGTTTAGAGCAATGCAAAATTAGGGTCTACTTGTTAAAATAGTGATATATTCATGCAAAATAAACTTATTGTAACTATCATAAGTCTAATGTCACTACTAGAAAGTAATCGCACTAAAGATTTTTTCAGAACAAGGATTTCGACTTGAGTGATCAGAAATTTCCAGTAGTGTGTGAGATTGTGTGTGTAATAATTTTTTTTAATTAATATAATAATTATAATGTGACTCAAACTCATGACTTTATACAAGTTGTAGGATCAAGCATTTACTGCTACGCCAAAAGGTATAGCTAGTAGTGAATGCGCAACATTATTTGTTTTATACTTGTGTAACAGTCAATGTCACGACCGAATCGCAAATTATGCCGTGCAACCGTGTGCACCATGCATGGTGCACACGGTTGCAAAAACGGCGCCATTTTGATTAAAAACGACGCGTCCGACTTTTAAAAAAAAAAAAATCAGTTTCGATTGCCGTTAACGGCGTTATGTTGTGTATAATTTGAACTATATATCCAGAATGAATGAACTATATATCCAGAATGAATGAAATATATACCCAGAATGAATGAACTATATATCCAGAATGAATGAACTATATAGTTCAAATTATGCACAACATAACACCGTTGACGACAATTGAAACTGAATTTTTCTTTTTTAAAACCGAACATCAAAACGACGTCGTTTTTGTAACCGTGTGCACCATGCATGATGCACACCGTTGCACAGCATAACGTTCCTGACCGGATAGTATAATGATGGACTCGACTCTGATCTCCAAGTCATAGCCCAACAAATATTTTTAATAAGTACATAAAAAAATATTACAATTTAATTTTAAAAATATAACACATCTTACGTGAAACGAAGATTTACTTTTATAACTATAAACATTCAAAATTAAACAATGGGCTCAATCAAAGCTCAAAGTTCAAAAAATTATATAGTATATAAAAAATTATACCAATAATTATCAACTCATATAAATATTACTTCATATAATATTATCGTATATCTGAATCGTTACTTTATTTAACTAATAATTCTTAATTAGATTAAACACACAACACAATATTAACTTTGACATTGACTTATATGTGTTTGATATGATCTTAGAATTGTGTGATCGAAGGTATATAATTATATATAGGCAATACTTTTTCTCTATGTACCTTATGCTCTATGAAGTGACTCTCTTAAATGGGAGATCATGAGATTTTGGAGATCATAGATTTTATTCCGGCCCCGGTAAGGGGGATATTGAGTATTGACTCTTTATATTTCAGTAGATTGAGAAAGTAACTATGAATAGATGTTATATTGTAACAAACAGTATTAAAAAAAATGATATTGTGTGACATTCAAATTTAATTAAAACAACAGTATTGTTTCTCATTGTTACTAATTAGTCTCATACATGGTTGATATCTTAGCTGATAACTAGGTTGCTAGGAATTTAGGCCATGTTTGATTGAAACTTTAAAAATGCATGTGTATCCAAATCTGTACAAGCTAGGACAAGCAATTTGTATGGACTAATTAATATTTTCTCTATTTTATTGTACTTCTCCTTGTTAACTTGATCAATTAATTAAATTTTCAAGAATGACATATTTAAAATACTAAGATTTTCCTCAGACAAACTACGAATACGACATAAATTTGAGACAGAGAATACCGTACCCAAGACTAGCATGTATATATACTTTGCAACCAAAATGTAGAATATATTAGTCCATGGTCAACTATTAATTAATTGCTAAAACAACCTTAATAATAGGAATTGAATATTAACCTACTTATCTAGACAAAATTAATGAATATATAATTACTAATATTTGAAAAAAAAAATCATTTGAGACACTGTTAGAGAATCACACTAATTAGTATCTTATTAATGGAAGTTAGGGGTAAGCTAACTGATCATGATTAATTAGTTGCACCTACAAACACATGCAATAAGTTGCTTTTGATTTGAAAGTATAAAGATGAACTTTCCTCTCAAACTTATCATTGTTTTGTCATTTTAGTACATCCAAAGTTTATGGAGATAAACAAAAAAGAAAAAAAGATTACACCCTTATCAAAACAAAGCCATATTTTACCAAAATCATGCAAAATAAAGAAGCAACATTCTGCACTCAATATAAAATAAAATAAAAATTATAGAAAAAAGATTATACCATATTTTTCATGAATTCATTTCTAGAATTTGTTAGTCAATTATTAGGTTAAAATTTTAAAACCACTCTAAACAAGAAAGGGTAAAACAAGAAAAAAAGGAAATTTCAAATTTTCATTAAATTATATGCAGGGGATAAGCGTACTTTAATTTTACTCTCTTAGAATGTAATATCTGTTCATATATAATTTTTCAACCTATTGAAGCACAAAGAGTTTATATTGTCTCATTGAGACTCGAACCCATCCATGACCTCCCATGTGGGATAAGCATACTTGTTAAAGTAGTATTAAGAATATAAAATCTTTTCTGACATACCAAAAAAGTTAAGAATGTAAAATGTTGTGATGAAAAACATAAGCACAAGAAATTAACATCAACCTTTTAATTCTATAATGTTGCCTTTAAATTAATTTGTAGATTTCATTCATATATCAAGTAAAAGGAATAATATGAAATTTGTTAAAATCTAAACCACAAAGACACAGGCTGCAGGATGGCAAAAGGGATATTCTTATTTTCAAAGGATTTGAAGGTGATTTTGATGGGATTGTATATATTCACAAATCCACTACAAACAGATTTGAAATCCACATTGCATTATGATACACCTCTGGTTATTAACAAAATTGAACTTCGACTCTTCAAATACTCTATTCTTATACGATTATATGATCCACCTTAATTCGCCAAGAAAAACATCGATCACAAATGTAGAGATCAGTAGCTTAAAGCTTTTATGCTGACAAATTTATAGAATTAAAAAAGAAAAGAAAAAAGAACTCGATTTAACTGATATAAATCTTAACCTCGAAACTTAGGTATAGTAGGATCAACTACTACATAACTTAAGTATTGAATCCTATGAGTTAATTATCTAGTATTTTTGTGAAGAAATCCACATGAATCTTGAAATTTGTTTGACAATATCCTTAATCTCCACAAATACCTAACCCTATCCAAAAATGAATGCAAAGCATATATAAGTGAATCATCTCCAAAAAGAAAGCTTTACTATTTCATGAAAGAACCAGAGCTAATAATACATGAAGCAATGAGTGTGAGAGAAGTACCTTAGATATAGCTGTATAGTGCTTTCCACTTTGAAGGAATGGGATAAGAGAGAGAGAGAGAGATCATAGAGAGAGAGAGAGAGAGCTTTTGTTATTCTTCTTTCTTGAAGCACTACACTAGTACTCCACTAGCAAGCTGATGCTGGTTTGGTCTATGGAGGAGAGGACACAAATTAAATAGAAATCCAATTTCTTTTTTTGCCAATATATATAAACCAGAAAAATAAATTATGATGAAATCTGTCAATAATTGTTTGAGAAGCCCTAAAAAGGACTTAAACTTTTAGGGGAGGAGGTGGGGGTGGGGGGTGGTGGGGGGTATGGAGTTAATGAGTGAATGGAAGCAAAAACAGCAGCAACAGAAGATGATGAAGCAGATGCAACAATGGGAAAACGACTTTTGAAGTTTTGGATTGGGGTAGGGTGGGGAAGGGTGGGTGGGTGGGTGGGTGCTAGTACCCCTTAACTGAGAGATACATACACCAAAAACTTTATTATATATAAAATAACAATATATATTCAATAAATTATTACATGCAGTACAGTAATGATTAATACCAATATATTTTCCCCTCTAATATATGAGTACATTTTAATAAAATAAAATAAGAAATTAGGTATAACATGGATAAAATATGTTAGGCTTTACAATTTTTTTATTTTTTTATTTTTATTTTTTTGTGTGGTTGGCATATTTGAGAAGTTGAAGATTAAACTTAAATTATGTATGTTGATAATATAATTCCGAGTTAAAATCCTATAATTTACTTCCTCCACAAGATCCTAATGGCGGGACTAGGGTTTAATTATTATTATTATTTTTTTTAAACTCTTACTTTGTGCTGCCTATAGTGTTGTTATGATTTCATATTTAAACCCACATGGGCAGTTCAGTTGGTCACATCGGTGAAGTTTAATTTGAGAACAATAACTCAGGATTGAGTCTCACCCGCAAGTGTGAGAGCAACCTATCAAAGTGAGGGGGGCTCCTTGTGCAGTAAGTAAAGGTCTAGCCTCTGTATTCAGCTTAGTTATCATGATTTATATCCTTCTAGATGCTCTGTCGGGCCGGGACATGGGGCAGTGTTATATTACTCAATCACAATGTCTTTAATGGTAGATTTTTTAAAAAAAAAAAAAAAAAAAAAAATTTAATGGTATTAATTTGATTAGAATTGAGATAGAAATGATGGGATTTTTTTCTTTCTTTTTGGATTGATTTCAAAATAAGATTATCCCACACAGACACACTTACACTTCACATGGAAGGTTTGGATAGTGGGGAGATCAGAGACACCCATTACCTACTTGCATGGGTTAATCTTGACGTACGGAAAGCACCAAAAATATAATTACAAATATGAGGAGTGAAGTGGACTTGCAAGATTGCTTTTGTGGGTCAACATGCTTACTCTTCTTTCCTTTTCAAATTTAATTTTTTTCCTCTAATTTTTCTCAACATATTCCTTAATATTGTTTACAAATAAAAATAATAAATTACCTTAATTCAAATCATCCGTGCATGACCTTGGTAATTTTAATCTAATTCATACATCAATTGGTATAAGATTGTTGGTCTTGGATAAGTAGAAGTTTAGTAGGAGCATTGTTGCAAAAATCGCACATAGGCATTGGGTGGCGCCCGATAGTGTCTAGGAACGTCGGAATCTGCATCCTCCGTGACCAGCGCTCGCCTGAGCGGTCTAGGCGGCCGAACTCCAGTTTTTTTTTTTTTTTTAAAGGTTATTCGTCGTCAAAACGACGTCATTTTGGCGAATAACCTTTAAAAAAAAAAAAAAAAAAAATCAGGCGCCTAGCGTCTTTTTCAACACTGAGAAGGAGGTTGATAAACTTTTATAAACTTTTTAAAAGATTAATAACATCAAATTAAAGTACGTATTAGCAACAAAAGGATTGTATTTGAATTCAAATGAGTAATAAAGTAAATGAGTTGATCATCTAAGAGATAGAGGAATTGTGATAGTATTTTTATAGTGGTTCGTGAATTTCTTAATTACTGTACTATTTTTCTTAACACAAGAAGGTTTTCACTAGTATCTCAATCTAGGCTTCACTATTCATGTAGCAATTTACCCTCAATCTTATTCTGATATGAAAAAAAATAAAAATAAAAATAAAAATAAAATCCTGAGCCTTTAACTGTTGAATATTTATACTTTTTACAATTTTACTTCCTAATATTATATCTTAATATCTCTTATATTTAAGTGTTTATATTCTAACAGAAAGAAGAATAGATGAGTTTTTTGAAAACGTAATGAAGTTGCAGTCTATCTCATCATAATTTCTTGTAATGCTGATTATTTGACTTTATAGTTCATAGACTTATTTAGTTATGTCCTTATGTTGCTTTCTGAAATGTGAAATGTAAAAAATGTAAATTGTGTATTTTGTGTCATTAATTTTGTAAGTGTTAAGTATTAAGTTGTTAGTTAATTGCCTTTAAGAATTAACGGATCAAGTTGTAGGTTGAAAGTTGTAACTTGTAAGTTGAAAGTTTGCGCTTAGTATTTAATTAAATTTATTAATTTTTAAATTATTTAATTCAACCCCAACATATCTAAATATCCGATTAAATCCATCTGAACCCGATATTGATAATATCCACCATTTTTAAATTAATTTATATGAATTGGGTTAATAAAATACAAACCGAGATCCGAACGGGTGGACGGTTTTAATATCCTAACCGCTCAAACCCGTCCGATGCACAAACCTAGAAATTTCATGCCCTCATTTTCATGGAATTAGAATTCTATGTACCCCTTGGTATTTAAATTTCATAAGTTTTAGAAGAAAAATATATATAATCTTGAGACAAAATTACCCATATTTTTAACCTAAAATTGATGTTTGACATCTCCCTCTCGATTATAGCGTGTCTTCTTCTTTTGCTCTCAACACCAGTACATCATAGGACATCGGGATGTCGTCCATCGTTAAATTTTCTGGCGGTGTTTGAATGCACAACCAGAGAGTTATCGATACATGTAATTCGATATAGGAATACACAACATTCTGTATAGGCTAGGAATGCGTAGCTTCTAATAAGACTGATTTACCCTAATCACACACACACACACACACACACACACACACACACACACACACACACACACACACACACATATATATAGAGAGAGAGAGAGAGGGGATCGCGTTCAGGTGCAAATTGACCGCCAAATGAGAACGCATGCCATTCGTTCACGTGTCCAAATTTAACGGATGAAAAACACTAATTTTTTAAAAAAATACGGTGGCATTTTCGTAAATAATTGAACATCAAAGTGCAAGTAAAATATATTACAAGTGCAAGAAGCAGTTTCATATAATGTACCTCAGTGCAAGTAAAATGTATTACAAGTGCATGTAAAATGTATTACAGGTGCAAGTAAAATTTACACTGAACATCAATATTAAGTGCACCTAACATTATAACTAGGTGCACTTAATGTTATAATTAGTTGCACCTAAGGTGCACAAATGTTACAAGGTAAATTACTTACACTTGTAAGTAAAAATAGGTGCACTTGTAAGTGATTTTACATGTACTTTTTACTTGCAACGTTGAACCAACTACTTGCACTTATACCACATTTACTTGCACCAAAGTTCGAGTTATTTGCGAAAATGTCACCGCGTCGTTTTTTTTAAATTACATCTGATTCGTTGATCTGGACACGTGGACGACTGTAAATAGTTCTTATTTCAATCCTGGACGGGCATTCTCACCTGAGCGCGCCCATATATATATATATATATATATATATATATATATATATATATATATATATATATATATATATATATATATATATATATATATATATATATATAGAAGAGCGCTCATATGTGGTCAAGTCATTAGGTGTGGCGGTTTGGTCATATCTGTGTCGTCGAATCAGTTTAATCTAAAGAAAGTGGTAATTCTGAGGATTTTCGCGCGTTTTGGTAAGTGGGGGTGTTAAGGGTAATTACAGTGGCCATTTATAGCGGACGAGTTCCAGAATATACCAACAGTGTTGACAACATGCACCAATAGTGTAATAAAACACACCATAGTGAAACACGCCAATAGTGTATTCCCGTGTTATGGTAATTACAGTGGCCATTTATAGCGGCCGGGATCCAAAATACACCAATAGTGTTGACAACATGCACCAATAGTGTAATAAAACACACAACAATGTGATTTTCCCTATTCCGGTGCTTTATGACGAGTTTAGCCTTGCAGTTCGCTGGGTAGGAGAATGTGCGCGAAAATACTGGAAGAATCTTGATTAATATGATTCATTGGATTTATCTAATCTAATGACCTATAATTGACAATATGACCACACATAGCAGCATAACCACATGTGATCACCCATATATATATATATATATATATATATATATATATATATATATATATATATATATATATATATATATATATATATATATATATATATATATATATATATATATAGAGGGTTGAGTTCAAATGAGGACAACAATATATAGAGGACTGTGAGGATAAATAATGGCAGGGCCGTATTTTAAATTTTGGTGGCCCTGTTCTGGTAAATAAATGTGGCCCTACCAAAATCACAATTTTTAAAATCAATACATGCAAGTTTCGAACCTTTGACCTCCAAGTTAAAATACAATAAATATACATTTTTACCATCTCTTCATAGAACCTTTTAAGTTTAATTGAAAACTCTTAATTTTTATTTCTAAACTAGCTAGGTAAAAATTAAATATTGGACCTATAAAATTTGGGGCCCCTCTAAAATTGGGGGCCCTGTGCGGTAGCCCAGCTTGCACAGCCTAAAATCCGGCCCTGATAATGGGCACACAACAAATTAATATCAAGCACACAACTTAATACATAATGACACATAAGAATAAATGTAAACATCAGGTTTTGAACCCAGACTCTATAAATTAACAAATCTAGCACGCGACATACAAACTGTGGCACACGACTACATTCAGCCATGCACACGACATACCGGCTTATGGCACACACTACATCTGTCCTCACAGTCCTCTATAATATACTTGTCCTCATTTGAATACACACACACACACACACACACACACACACATATATATATATATATATATATATATATATATATATATATATATATATATATATATATATATATATATATAGAGAGAGAGAGAGAGAGAGAGAGAGAGAGAGAGAGG